GGTCGAGCATTTTCTCCCCAGTTCTTGTGGCCTCGCCAAGCAGCACCGCGCGGCGCCTCTGGACCGGCTGTCGGGGCCGAGCATTTTCTCCCCAGTTCTCACCTCTCTACCCACCTTTGGTAGGGCATCCCTCTCACGCCACCTGCATCATTTTAGTTCTTCCTGCATAGATGCTGCTTTAGGTGCCCATTTCATGCTACTTAGACCTTCCTGTCTAAGGGTTTGGGCAAGGATAAGACTCCCTGTTCTCATACCAAGGGATTTAAAAATGAATTAATCCCTGCATTGCAGTTTCTTCTAAACATGTTCTGCTCAGACAAGTGCCTTACGGATGCAAAGCATATATTACATTACAAAGCAGAATTCCTTATAATGTAATTCTGGTTTCAAATCAGCCAAAGTTTTGTTTTACCTATCATGTAGGTCCGGAACTGAAATGTTCCGAGGCAATATCATTAATCAGTCTGTGCTGGTATACAAGGGGCAGTAGACAACTATGAACCAAAACAGCTCCTGTACACAGATTATTGCACCTAGTATGTTCTTTCTAGTACAGCAGTTATATGATTTTTTTTTTATGTAGGAAGATTTTCCTTAACGTATTTTTCTTTCTTTTCTATCTTTTTTTTTTTTTTTTAAGAGTAGGTCGGTTGAGGGAGGTTTGCATGAATCACAACAAACCTCTCTGAGCTTCATCTAGTGCCTCTTTGTACAAATCAGCTTTGACAAATTTATGAGGAATGTTACAACAATGACAGAAAGACAGACAGACAGAAAGACACTGCACATTCCACTGCCCTAACAATTAAAACATGTTACTGCTCTGGAAGAGAAGCATCTCACCTGTACTTCAGCAGCAAAATTAAAGGAAAAAACAGCAACAAGAAAAAAACAAACAAAAAACCACACACGCACTGCCATTGCAAATTACTTTTCCTGGATGTGAAGGAGTACCTTCAACGAAAAAAGCTGCCTATGTTTTTAGCTGCTTCACAGGTTCATCTTTTTTTTTTTTTTTAAAAAGGATTTTTATTCACTGAAAACGTCACTAGCAATTTCAATCATATTTTCATATCACAAATGGAACTGCAAGCTTGTAAGGGATCTAAGTATTTCAGTTTTTTTATAATAGCTATTTTTGCATCATGCACATTCTAGAGATGGAAAAAATGAGAAGTTCTAAGTCAAGGACACAATGCTACCAGGGCCCAGCTGCCCAGGTAGCCTCCGCTATTCCAGTGTCATTCCCTAACCTGAATACTTTGCTGTCCCCACAGCAAGCTAAAATATACTAGATCATTCTAAAAACACTGGATCATTCTCCAAGCCATGTTTTTAGAAACCACCAACCAATGCAGGGTGACTTATCCGTGCGATTATCCCTTGCAATGATTATTCATGGCAGAGTTGCAAAAGCAGCCTCTGAATGAGCTTCAAGAGAGGAGCGCTGGCTTGTTCTCCCTGACCCCGGGGTTCGGAATCTCTCTGCACCTCTGTTTCATTTGTGCTCCATATTGCATACTATAATAGATGGAAAACCTAATAAAACATGCTGTTTGTTTAAACATGTGTTTAACCATAGTAATGATTGGGAATAACTACCACTTAAAATTGCGGTAATACCTGGTAAACACAGAATATTTTTTTGCCTGCGTTCCTTCCCAAAATAGGAAATAAGAATTTCTAGATAGTAATAACAATCCACTAAAAAAAAAAAAACAATCAAACAAAAAAAAAACCACTCAGCTGTTTCAAATTTTTCCAATCCTGAAATAAAATGTAGTAATGAAAAGCTAATTTGACTGGAATTAATCAAATTGCAGAACACTTGATAGCACATTATTTAAATTGAGAAGAAAACAATGCTATATTTTATACTAACCTTCAACACGTAAGTGCAATCTGCATTATGCATCACATTGCTAAACATATCTGTTTTAGCACCATATTTGAGGAAAGACTAAGCGAGCTGGGCCTGTTTAGCCTAGAGAAGAGAAGACTGAGAGGAGATCTGATCAATATGTGTAAGCACCTGAGGGCACAATGTAGGGAGGATGGGGCCAGGCTCTTCTCAGTGGTGGCCAGTGACAGGACAAAAGGTAATGGGTACAAGTTGAAACCCAGGAAGTTCCATCTCCATGTGAGGAAGAACTTTTTGATTATGAGGGTGACAGAGCCCTGGCTGCCCAGAGAGGCTGTGCAGTCTCCTTCTCTGGAGATCTTCAAAACTCTCCTGGATGTGACCCTGTTCCCTGTGCTCTGGGTGTCCCTGCTGGAGCAGGGAGGTTGGGCTAGATGATCTTGAGAGGTCCCTTCCAACCTCAACCATTCTGTGATTCTGTGATATTTCATGTTTAATGCATGTTTAAACATAGATCCATAATAAAGACTACAAAATGCAGGTAGAACATCACTAAAGGCAAGTGCTCTTGCAGTGGCAATCATGGTAAAACCAGTGTATTTTTATTTAAAAAAATACAGGTATTGTCTATAAATGTATTTTTTTTTATCCACATTACCACTGATTCTTATGATAACCTGTATAAGTAGATAATTACACAAACCATTCACTTTTCACCAGCTGCTCTCGCTAATGCTTCATACATTTCTCAACATAGCCAAGGCCCCTTCATTTTCCTCTCAAGTGAACAGAATTGGCCAAGAATGGTCAATTCCATAGTTTCCAGACTTCAGGTGCTTTCGTTTGAGGGGAACAGCACTGCTATTATTCCTTAGTTGTCTGTCACACAAGGAACACGCCGTATCAGCACTTGGCAATCCAGAGCATCCTCCCCGCGCCGGGTTTAGCCTATCTGGACCAAGCAACCTGCGCTACGGTTACCCACGGAGCTGCCCCGCTCCCCTAGCAATGCTCCTGCAGCTCCCTCCAGCAGCCCCGCTCTAGAGCAGAGCGGGGATTAAAAGAAACAAGGATGCTGTCCAGGCACCACGCAGAATCCTCCTTAACTGCAAAGGCACGAGCTTGCAAAGCCTCCACCCAAACGGAAGACCCAGAGCTGTTAATTAACTTTGCATGCTGGAACAAGTGCCTTTCTTTTGGGGCATTCATAGGGAAGTTTGGTATTAGGAACACCGACATGAGACCAGCAGTATTTGTGAAAAGAGCCGTGTGTTTGTGTATTATAAATCGCTATTAATATAGTTACTTTTTTTTTTAATTTGCATGAAATAACTGTTTTATCTGTTCAAGAAACATGTAACTTACCTCTTGTCTTTTTTTTAATTATTATTATATTAAAGAAAGTGCAATCTATCAGGTCTATCCAAGCCAGGCATGAATTCCAACCCACTGACTTACATCCTCCAAGACCGTCCTTTCTTGCTCTCAACTCCTATAACCTCTCCTCCATAGAGGCCCTTCTCCTAACAACAGTCTTCTTTTCCATTTTCAACACCAGAGACATACTCTGCCCAAAGGAACAGACTTTGGAGAGTCAATTCTATTAAACAGACAGCAGTTCCTGCATAATCACTTTCTTACAAGAAAAAACAAAACAAACAAAAAACCCACCATTCTATGGTAGAGTTTTGTAAAATAACTGGAGACATGCTTGAAAGACATGGATTAATCCAGACTGTTCCATTAAAGAATAGGAAATACTAGAATATTAGGAAAGTTAATTTCAAACAAGTTACCATTCTCCATTCTGTTGGCTTTATTAAGATCTAGTTTGTATATTAGCTATGATCATTTTGTGTTTTGCACTGTCACTAAAAATTGCTAAATAACTCTTTCTTGGATACTTTATCTTGTACAATATGACAACAACACAGTGGATTCTGAACTGTGACCACAAATCAAGATGTGTATGTGCATTATATTATTTATAACCTATATTCATAACGTACCTTTAAGGATATAAAAAAGCACTCTTGTTCACAGGGCAATATTTTGCTTATATACAATAAATTTACATATTCATCTGACACTGCAAATTATGGTCTTAAAACTAACACAAGCACAAGTTAGAATGTGACAACTTACAGAAGCAGCTCTTCGGCAGTTAACATCGCGATCAAATACTGCAGCGATGACCAACGCACTGAGAAGAGAAAAAAATGAGTATAAACAAAAACCCTGGAATAGTGGGAAATGTCTTACAGTATCAAAGCAATTTAAGAAGTGAACTCATCCATGAAACTGCATAACAAGGTTTCATGTCGAAAACTTAGTCTTGGACAAAATCGCTATCTCTGTATGGGAGGTTCAAACTCAAAACCTGGAAATACCCAGTAGCAACTCACAGCAAGGCTCAACTAAGACCTAAGCAAAACTAAAAGTTAAGCAATAAGAAATTTTAGCTTCATTTGTACATGAACTGTAATATCCTGTAAGTAACAAAAATGACAAAACATATGTAAACCCTACAAAAAAACAACAACAAAAAAACAACAACACAGTCTGCAGTGGCACTTTAAGTAGTACCACAAAGCAGTTTCTTAAAAGGTGACATGGAGATCCTGAGGCTTGATTGCACAAAAACATTTCTTTGTGCACCAAGTCAGGTAACCCTGCAAGTTCAACTCCTTTTTACCTCAACCGAACAGGTTTTTAAGATGTGCCACACAACTGGAGAGAAAAAATATATCCCAGGACACAGTCTGCAGCTCTGGAAATCTACCCCCAGCATTCAATTAACTCAGTGACAAATAAACATCACTTCAGGAGAATCATTTAAGCAGAAAATTATTCCTTTCAAACCCTGAAACTCTTCATTACATTACTTATTGACTCCAGGCAAACCAGGAAATAAATACTGCCTGAAAAGTAAATTCGAGAGAGCTTTGCTTGAGCGTAAAGATATTAATTACACTGATAATATCAACCTTCCCTGGGTAGTAGCAGTCAGGTTCCTACAGTGCAGAAGACTATGTTGTTAAAACTCACTGAAATGCACAAGCAATATTGCCTCTAATTGCAGTTTATTCCCATCTCAGAAAAACCAGAGACAGAAAGCAAGACCGCATGGAAGACTAAAGTCTGCCAATTTAATATTTTATCAAACAGATACAAAAACTGCTCTAAAGACAGTTCATGCTCTCCTAGCATTAACTGCGTGAGCAATTCTTGTCCTTGCCACAAAGATATTATGCGATTATAAGACAAAGGAAGGTAATCCATATGACAGAGCTTGGAAGAGAGAATATTTATGAAGGAATATACAGGGAGCAGCTTACAAAGTGTTGAAACAAGGCTGTTTCAAAAAAGTGTTGGGTCAAACACGTCATCTTCATGCGATGTCTGCTCATTTGCTTCTCTGGCATACGGAGAAACTTAAAAATCACTTTAAAGGGCCATTTCAGAAGTACAAAGTTTTAATGATATGGAAAGCTCCCACAAATCTTTTAATTATAGAAGAGAACATATTCAAAACTACGGAAGTGGTTGGAAGTCATGCTGGAAAGCACGAAGAAGCCAACTTCTGCCTGAGGTTTCAGATTAGACAGACCGCAAGGCAAAAATTATTTTATGAGTTACGCAACTTTTCAACACTGTTTTCTTCTGTGGAGAAGAAAAAAGAAAAAAAAAAACAGAACAAAACAAACAAACAAAAACCTGAAAGAGAACAAAATTAGCAAGGCAGAAAACTCCAAGTCCAGATTGCACTGGAGGAAGAGCAAGGTAAGTGCTGCAGAGCACATCCGAGGAGCTGGTCTGGCTCACGCCTAAAGCCTTCCAAGCCAGCGTCCCGTCTCCAGCAGTGGTCAAAGTGACACGTACACATGCGAGTCGGGGACAGGAGGACAGGAAAAGTATGTCACATTATTTCCTCAGCCTATGCCCTCCGGCTTCAGTATGCTGTGGTTCAGCATAAGCACTGTGGCATTTCTCCACTGTCCTTAATTTCTCCCATAATGGCCATATTTTCACTGAAAGCAAGACCTGCACAACCATTTACCAAAAAAAAAAAAAAAAAAAAAACCACCCCACAGTTTGCATAATGTATTTTCAGCACAAGCAATTCCCTTAGTCTTCAGATTTAAAAAGTTGTATAGGTCTTTTCAAATGGCAAAAATGGTTAAAAAGGGCTGTCACCAGAAAATAAAGCCTGCTCTTTACACTTTGTATTCAGACTTAAAATTTGCTTAATTTAATATAATGTGCTTCATTTACTAGCCTGCAAACCAGTTTCAGGTTACTAAGAACAACAAGAGTCCCTGGCCAAGGTTTTGGCTTTTAATCAAATCAAGCTTTCCGATCTTTTCTTCTTCTTTTTCTTCTGTAAGACAGGACCATGTAAGGGAACAGCACAACACCACAATATCTGGGTGATGCCACCCAAGTTACTCGGTGCTTTAACTCCACACTAAGCTAAGAAAAAAAGAAGAGAGAAAAGGAATTTGGTCATCTTCCCCCTCCCTTTAAATTCATAAATCTAACTGTGATGATGCTTTTATACTCTGCCTTTTAATAAAAGCATTCTCAAATTATCCAAGTGCTTTCCTGTTTTTTTTCCCAGTTAATTGAGTAGTTTTCAAGGCAGGCACAGCCTGCCCTAACACATGGCTTAGCCAGGAGAGCAACATGCCTGGGATGAAACACGTCTAAGGTGTCTTCACCTGGCAGCTTCTGTCGTGGGAGTTTATGTGATACTCCACCAGGATTTCCTAACGCAAAGAGGCTGTTGATGTCAAAGGCAGCGGGATCTGTGTTTCTTCCTTGGGCTGGTTGCGGGACGTGTCCCGGCCT